ACACAAGGAAAGTATTAGCCCAAGAGACAGAAAGGACCACATAAACCAGAGACTTCATCAGTCTGAGACCGGGAGAACTAGATGGTGCCCGGCTACCACGAATGACCGCCGTGACAGGGAACACAACAGAGAGTCCTTGATGGAGCAGGAGAAAGGTGGGGTGCAGAACTCATATTCTAGTAAGAAGACTAGACTTAATGGTCTGACTGAGACTGGAGGAACCCCAGAAAGCATGGCCCCTGGATTATCAGCCCAGAACTAAAACAGTTTCTGAGGCCAACTCTTCAGATGGGGTTTGGAGTGGAGTGTGGGACATAAAGTGATCCTCGTGAGGAGTGTGCCTCTTAGATCAAGTAGATACAAGAGACTAAATGGGTAGCTTCAGCCTGGAGGTGAGATGGTTAGGAGCTTGTTGAATGGACATGGGGAATCACGGGTGGAAAGGAGGAGCATGCTGTCACAGTATGGGGAGAGCAATTAGGGTCACATAACAATGTATGTATAAATTTTCGTATGGGAGACTAACTTGAAATGTAAACTTTTTATTTAAACTACAACAATAAAAAAAAGAACCTTAAAAAATAACTTTTCTCATTATTAAATGTTAATTATAGAAAATAAGAAAATAAAGAGAAAAAAACAGAAATAAGCAGCCAGTATCCCATTGTTAATACTTTGGGGGTATATATGTCTAGACTTTTTTTTACGTGTCTGTCTCAAAGTTGAATTGATAGACCATTTTTTTCTCTCTTTTCTGTTGTGAGTGGTGTTAGGATTAGTAGAGTCCACAAGCATGTTCTTTTTATTAGTGCTTTAGTATTTCCCTATAGTTGGTTGTTTCTGTTGGAAGCAACATTTGGCTACGAGTGGAAACAGCACCATATTTAGAGTCCCAAGACTGGGGTTTCAGCTCTGACTCACATTAGGTTTGCAAGTTTAGGAGAGGCATTTAAGCTCACTCTCCTCATCTGTAAAAGGGATAGTAATATTTATTTTGTGATATCTCATCCACCAGAATGGCTAAAATGTAAAAGACAGACAATACCAAGTGTTCACAAGGATATAGAGCAACTGGAATTCTCATGCCCTGCTGAAGGGAGTGCAAATTGGTTTAGCCACTTCAGAAAACTGACATCATCTGTCAAAACTGAATAAAACCTTATGACCCAGCAGTTTCACTCCTAGATATCTACCCAACAGAAATGCATATGCATATGAGTGTGCACTAAAAGACATGCGCAAGAATGTTCATAGCAGTGCTGTGTGTAATAGCTCAAACTGGAAGCAGCCTCAGTGTCTATCAGTAATGCAATAGACAAAAACATTGTAGTATACTCCCACAATGGAATACAGTAATCAGTAAGAATGAATGAACAACAATCCCATGCAGAGATCTAGATGAATTTCACAAGTATAACGTTCAGTCCGACACAAAAGAATATATACTGTACGATTCCATTTATAAAAATTTAATAACAGAGCTAATCTTAGCGTTAGAAGTCAGAATGCTGGTTACCCTTGGGAGGTGGGTAGTGATAGAAGGGAGTATAAGAGGCTTCTGGGTGGCCGGCAGTGTTCTGTGGGTGCTGGTTACATGGATATGTTCACCTTGTAAAAATTCTTTGAGCTGTACACTTTTACTGTGTGTGCTTTTCTGTATTTCGTGTATCCATAAAAACTTTATTTAAAACACTAAAAAAAGCATATCAATCATATTGCTTTCATTAAAATAGTATATTAAGAATGAAAAGTTTTTAGTATTAATGAATAAAATAAAATAATTTTAACAATTACTTCATTTCTTTGAAATTTGTTTTACAGTGCACATGATATAGTGGTACATTAGACTGTGTCTTTAATTTATAAATAAATACATTAGAGGCGCTTGCTTATTTATTTATTTGTTGGTAATGAAGGATCAAAAAGTTTGGTGAGCAGAGGCTCAAGGTGTAACAAAAGGAAGTAGCTGAGCAGAGACCTGGCTGTGGAAAGCAGCCTAGTGAGTGGATGAGCCTCAAGCAGTTCAGCCCGCTTTCTGTATTTCTCTAGTTGGGTCATTACTTAGTTGTTGGAGCATGAAGTGTGAGGCAGAGAGTGCAGTGTGGCGAGACTTGAGGGAGGCAGGGGTCAGCCCTCTGAGCATCTTGGATTCCATTGGCCCAGGGAAAGGGCTAAGAGGAATGGGGAAAAGGAGGCTCCAGATGGTGAGAGGATGAACGGAACGGGTTACTGGCAGGGTGTCTGAGCAGAAGAAAGAGGAGCCAGCTGAGTGGCCAAAGAGATTAAGGAGATGGGAGGAGAGAAAGAATAATGAAACTCTGATTAGGGGTTGAAAGATGAATTTTCAGAAAGAGGGACTGGTGAGCCATGTTAAAAGCTATCAAGAGGTAGGAGAGCATTAGACTACTAGACTCAGCAATTAGGAGGTCCTGGTGACCTGGGGGAGCCCTGGTGGCGCAGTGGTTAAGAGCTCAGCTACTAACCAAAAGATCGGTAGTTCAAATCCACCAGCTGCTCCTTGGAAACTCTGTGGGGCAGTTCTACTCTGTCCTATAGGGTCACTATGAGTTGGAATCAACTCATCGGCAGTGGGTTTGGTTTTTTGGTTTTGCGACCTGGGAGGGAGCATTGTGTACTGAGCTGTCGGGTAGGGAGTTCCCGAGTGGGTGGGTAGTGAGATAGTGTGGTAGTGAGGAAGTCAGCAGTGTCTGACTGGAAAGCAGCCTGGAGTTCAAGAGTCAAAGCTGTTTTGAAGAATGGGGAGAACTGAAGATATTCACAGAGGGAAGGACTAATGGAACAAAAGGGGCTGAAGTTGTGAGAGAGCAGAGTGACTGACTGACTGAGAAGTGGAAGAGGCTGGATCCCTGAGCCCAGGGCAGGGGTCATCCCTGACTGTCAGACTGACGCCTGTTTCTCCCAAGTGGGAGAGAAGGACCAGGAAAAGATGCAGAAACATTTTAGGTGGAAGGAGGGACCCAAGGGAGCTGAAGCTAAGTATAAGTCTTCTCAGTAAAGGAGGTTGTGCAGCTGCCTGCCCATACTGGACAGGTGTGGATCGTGGTATAGGAGCATAAGAGATGGGGTGCTTTGGAGTGGCCACCATGGGGGATAGAACATGAACCAGCAATGGACTCTCTGAAGGTTCAGAGGTCCATCCACAGCCACTTTATGCACAAGTGCTTGCCTGTGCCTGTGGGGCTGTGGACAGGTTGGCCCCGAGTCATGAGACATGCTAGGCACTTCCTCCCTTGCCACACACTCATTTTCACACAGCCATATGCTCCAAGGGCAGTAGTGTTTGTGTCTGGGCACTCCTGAATTCGTCTCTTGCCTGTTGGTCCCCGAGGCCTTGGCTGGTAGTTTTTGGCCTGCTAGAGTGCATTTCCCATAAGATCAATGTTATTCTTGGGGTTAGAGTCCCCATACAAACCCTCACATGCTTATTTACCATAGCATGTGTCCCAAGCATGATGAGAAAGGAGCATAGTGACAGAAGAGGGTATATCTATTTAGTTCAGTGATTCTAGGATAGGCTTTGCTACCTAATGAGGCTAATGATAGTATCAAATATTGATCTATGGGGAAAATATTTGACATTTCAAAGAACAGGTTGAAATCACATCTTGTAGCACTGTAGTTGGTCTGACCTGGCTGAACTTTGAAAAATAAGTCTTACCATATGGAACACTGATGTAAATCCAGTTAATTTCCCCTACTTTTACAGCAGCTACTGTTTGGAAAGAGACGTGCTGGGATGGTGTATCCTATTGGCCTGGGGATTATGACGTCCAACACGTATTCCTGGTAAGTCAGTACACTGATCTGTGGTGACATGTGCCCTCTTGAGCAGATGGCCATACACTCTAAGGTGCACGCTGGGTACAGGTGAGCCAGGTGGTGTTCAGTCAGAGAAACTGCCTACCAAGTGGAGTCTGATGGGGCCAAGGAGCACAGAGTGGTTCTTGGGACATCAGGCATCCTCAGTGAGCCACGCATGCAGAGGGTGATTTAGGGGCTCCTTCTTGCCAGATGAAGCTTTGGAATTTTCTTTATTGATTCTTGTCTTAGTCATCCAGTGCTGCTATAACAGAAATACCACACGTGGATGGCTTTAACAAAGAGAAATTTATTTTCTCACAGTCTAGTAGGCTAGAAGTCTGAATTCAGGGCATCAGCTCCAGGGGAAGGCTTTCTGTCTCTATTGGTCTTCTCATCAATCTTCCCCCAGTCTAGGAGCTTCTCCATGCAGGGACCCCAGGTTGAAAGGATACTGCTGCTCCTGGCACTGCTTTCTTGGTGGTATGAGATTCCCCTGTCTCTCTGCTCGCTTCTGTCTTTTATATCTCAAGAGATTGCCTAAAGACACAATCCATTCTTGCAGATTGTGTCCTGCCTCGCTAACACAACTGCCACCCATCCTCCCTCATTAACATCATAGAAGCAGGATTTACAGCATATAGGAAAATCACACAATACCGGGAATCATGGCCCAGTCAAATTGATACACACATTTTTGGGGGGACATAATTCAATCCATGACGGTTCTCACATCAAGGGTTTTCTTCTCTTTCTTTCTGCTTCTCTCATGCTGCCACCCAGAAGATAAATGTTCTGTGTCTGAGTCCCCAACAGCTGGGGTTACTTGGGCAACCTGCTACCTCTCCACCTCAGTGAGGTCTCTAGAGCTAACCACAAACCCCTCTCCTCTCACTATTTCAATTTCAGCTCCCCTCCTCACTTTCAGCTATCATTGCTTCAAACACTTGAGCAGAAAGGGCTAGTTCACTGTGCTTGGCCAGGCGGGGAGGTGGAGTAAGGGGATATGAAAACAAATAAGACATGATCATTGTCGTCAAGGGATGCAGTCTTCTGGTCAACCTCTTGGCCCCCCCATTCTTATTCTCAAGATTCTGCCCACCCTGTTTAATCATCTCTTCTAAAAATGCTTTTCTTCTGCTCCCCAGCTGATGGGAGTGCTCTTTTCTTTAAACCTTCATGGCACTTGTTTTAACCTCCTCTCATGCCCCTGACCACGTTCTGCATGAGATATGTTTTTTGATGTTCTCCGTACCTCCTGCCTTATACCCTCAACTAGATTTTGAGCTTGTTTAAGGCAGAGGCTATGTCTTGCCCATTACTGTATCCCTTTGGTCAATGCCTTACAGTAAGTTTTCAATAAGCGTTTCAGGATTGAAGCCAGCATGGAATCCGTTATGGCTCCTGGCATCCATCCCCTTTGTGGCCATGGCCCTCAGATCTTGAGATAACATAAAAGAATTTAGGAAGAGGCAGAGAGTGTTTGCCTGGAAGATTCCTAGGAGATTTTATTCAGGTGGGATCAGTCACAAAAATATTAAAAGCTGAAAGACTACAGTATTTTTCAGATTCTTCTAGTAGCCTCACCCTGCTGTCAACCAACCTTTTGTCACAAAAGAGGCAGAAGGTACAGCTTCTTATGCTTTCCTGCCCAGGATCCCAGTCTTCCTTGATATTCTCTGATTAACTACACCACAAGTAATTCAGAGAGTGCTTAGAAGAAGAAGCGAGTTTCCTAAAACCTACATATTGGTGGGATTGGCTTCCCTAAGGAGGATGCTGGAAACAACTGCTGGTTTAAATCAAAGAGCATATGAGAAAACCTGAGACTCAGAGATAAGTAATTTCCCTGAGGTCACACAGAAGGTAAATAGCAGAGTTGGGATTTGAATCTAGGTCAGTCCGGTTCTAGAACTGGAGTTCCTCTCTTCTGTCTGTGCTTTCGAGTCTGATTAAAGCTGGATCCCATGAGAGAGGCTGCAGTTACCACTGCCCCAGAAGCTCAAGCAGCCCGTCATGACAAGGGGTAAGGAAACTGTACCCATCAATAGACAAAGACAAATGACAACACATTTAAGGAGACTTGGCCATAGAAGGGAGGGAAGACAAGCATCACACTCAGCTTTAGCTCCTTTGTGGCAGGATGAATGGAAGAGATGTGCAAGAACTTTAATTTAGAAGGAGAAAACTCCCAAGGAACAAGATTAAAGTGTACCAGAGGCTTTCATGAACTAAGAAATGTGATTTTTGAATAAAAAAAAAAATCGATAGAAGAACTGAAATTAGTGGTGTGGAAGGTCAAATGGAAGAAATATCTCACAATCCAGAGCAATAATAAAAAGAAATGGTAATGATGAATTAAAGTGTGATACACTTGGGGTCCTTATCCCGGAGACCTGGCAGGTGAATGCTAGGAATTTCAGAAGGAGAAAAAGGAACAGATGGAGAGGTAATAGTTAGAAAAATAATGGAAGAAAAATTCACTGGGCTGAAGAAAGACTTGATTCTTCAGCTTAAATGGGTTCATTCAGCTCATGCACAGACCAACATTTAGATGTTTTCTAGTAAAATTCCTGAACTCCAAGAAGAAAGAAAATTTTTAAATTTTCTAGGAAGAAAGGACAGGTTATTTGTAAAGGACAGAGGGTTAGGCTCTCATTGGGCTTTCCATATGCAACCTTGGAGGCTGGAAGACAGTGGAACGGTGTCTTAGGCTGGGTTCTTTAGAGAAGCAAAACCAGTAAAGCGTATAAACATATATATATATCAAGGAAACAGCTCACGCAGTTGTGAGGTTAGAACATCCCAAGTCCGTGGATCAGGGTAGAGGCCTCTCCCAAGTTACACAGCTGCAGAAGCTGGTGAGCCCAAGATTGGCAGGTCAGAGAGTAGGGCTCCTGCTCACAGTCTGTGAAGATTGACGAATCCCAAGTTTAGCAGATAAGCTGACAGCTCAAGTCCCAAGAACTGGAGATGAGACAACAGGAGGCAGCCGCAGGATCCAGAGAGAGCAAAAAGCCAGAACATCTGCTTATATGCAGATGCAGGCCACACGCCTAAGGAGACTCCCTTTCATCTGATTGGCTACTCACAGTATATTCAATCATGGGAGTGATAAACACAGAATCATGGCCCAGCCAAGTTGACACATAATCTTAACCATCACAAACGGTGTCTCCAGAATGTTGAAGTGAGAAAGGGACTGCATTCCTGTATACACTCAGCCAAGACGTCACTCATATGCCATTGCGAAAGAAACTCATTTTCAGATGTGAGGACACTTAGCATTTGTTATTAAGTCTGCCTGAGGAGAATATCCAGTGTAGTTCCTCTAACCAAAGAACAATTGAGGCAGAGCAGAAATACTAGAATAGGAAAAGAGAAGAATGCAGGAAACAGTGAGGAGCAGTGCAATTTAGTGCATATAGTTTAATCTGTGTATTAAATTGGAATTGGATTGTGAATTGGAATTTTTATTGTGTGTTAAATAAGAATTTTTAAAATAGAGGAGACCCACTGTAAGGAAAAACATAGGCTGAAACTAAAAATTCTAAACCATCGCTGCAAAACCTAAGACTTTGGGAGGGAGGATGAGAGTGGGGAAATAACTGTTCTACTTTTAGGATACAAATAAGCATTGGACAAATAAAACAGTCATAATTATTTATATGTGTTACAGAAAGAGAAATAAGGGTTCAGTTTTAACTGTTGGGAATCAGAAGATACATAAGTTATAACTAGGTTTGGTTGCATATAATAGACAGCCCCTGAATAACAATAGCCAGGCACTATACCAAATGTTTCATGTTATTTTCTTTCTTCTCACAACAGACTTACAAGGTAGGTACTATTAATATCACCTTTTTTCAGGTGAGGAGTTTGAAGCACAGTGGGGCTAAATAACTTGTTTATGTTCCACCAGCCAATAAACAGTGGTGCAGGATGGGACCAAGGCTCCAAAATCTGAACTCTTAATCAATTCTCCTACCTTGCCCAAGGAGCTCTGTCTTATCTCCCTCCCATGTGCTTTGTATGGCCAGCTCGTTGCTTTATGAATGTTCAAATTTAAAAGCTTTAAGTGGTTATCTTAAAGCTTTCAAATTTGAACTTCAGTTAGCCACAGGTCCTATATGTCCTTATTCTGTTACACCTGTGACTTCACTATTGACATGATCTGCCTGGGCCCTTCAGGCATTTGAGGGTATGACCCTAGTCTCTGGTACGAGTCCCCTTTGTTGTATGTATTTATGTTGCCTGGCAGAAAGACATTGAAGAATACAATGATTACTTCACAGTGGTTACCTTATGTAACTGGAAGCAGGGTTGAAACCTTTTTATTTGTACACCTCTGTTGGGTTTGGGTTACAACAACAACATTATGCTGCTTTTGTTGTTTAAACAGGAAGTCCAATAAAATATCCTTTAAAAATAATAAAATATCAAGTAACAATCCAGATAAGTAACTACACCTTCCTTTCTGTTTCTTTTGAGATTGTCTTTATAAATGTCACTGTTTAAACAAGCAGATGACTTTTCTTTTTGGTAAAATGGAGCTTTAGGCTGTCAGCTGTGTTAATGTCTGGTATCCTCCCGTTTTGAACCTCTCATTCTTGAACCCATACGTAGACAACAGCACAGGTCCTGCTTGATCAAGAGGGAGGCTCTGGCTCCATCATAATCTCATAGTCAGAGATGGGAGACATGTGAAGTGGGGCTGCTCAGAGGAAAGTTTGTGATCCGTGGAAGCCATGGGCTGGGCTCCTGAAGCTGACTGTGTGACCCTCTTACTGGATGTCTAGGAGAGCTGACCAAGAGTGTGGCCACAGCACATAGCCCAGCGAGGAAGACAGATACATGATTAATGACAAATAAGATGAGTACTATGGTGGAGAAGTTTGGGTGCTCTGAAAGCCTGTAAGAGGAGGACATTATACATTTGGGGAATCACGGAAGGTTCCCCCCACCAGAGGAAGTGACATTTAAAATGA